AATAGATAGAAGTTGAGGAATATCCCACGTTCATCACTAATGATGACGACATTGTCTTAGTGGACAAGAACTTCAAGAAGAAGAAGAAGCAGCGGAACAAGAAGAAGAAAAACGCGGCGTGGATGCTTTTTATGCACCATGCCTTCGTCGACACGGTACCGAGGAAGCAGCTGAAGAAGCTGTAGCGTGGCTTGCATTGCTTGATTTTGCACGAGCTGCACCCGCATTTGCTTTCGAGCCAGCATTGCGTTGCGACTTGTATGTTGTACTTTAGATACCTGGGCATTGGGGATCAACGGAGTTTTGCGTCTGGAACACGCCTGGCACCGCGAATGAGTTAGGAATACGGATAGGGTAGCGTGTGCCATGATCTGAATGGAAGGCATTTTGTTTCATGATGGATAAACAACGAGCGTCATGTGATGGATGCTTGGCTCTGACTGCGTGCGTATACGACAAGGCAGTGCGCCTCGGGGTGTGACTGGGGCGTACCCTGTCACTTTGGCGATGACATGCGCTGTCTGTGACTGTCTTCGTAGGGTCCGCCCACGTTGTCCCCATCTCATATGAGGCTTCGCTTCCCAGCATGCTGAAGGCACAGCGTCGACTCAAACGGGGTTGTATTTTCGTGCGCCAGCGCCTACGCCATGAAACGCAAAAGCCGAACAACGGCCAAACGAGACAGCAGACCCCTCAATCCGACTCGCTCTCGTCACGGTCCGAGAAGCCCTGGAACTCCTCCTCCTCGTCGTCGTCGTCGCCGGCAGCACCACCGTCCCCCTCAGCCCCCGGCGGCAGGTCCTGCTCCTCGACGTCAAAGTTGGCGGACACGTCCCACCTGTCGCCCGGCGCGCTCTGGCTGACGTACTTGACAAACTTGAGCGCGCCGCTGTCGCGCAGCACGAGCGTCATCTTGTTCCAGGCGGCGGCCTGGAAGAAGAGAATGTTGTCCTCGTCGCCGCTCGACTTGTACACGGCCGCGTCGTTCTTGTCCTTTTTCGCCTGCTCGTCCGCGTCGTCGTCGTCTTCCTCGTCGTCGCCGGCCATGTAGACCTCGTGGCCGCCGACCTCGGGAGCTTCTTGCTCTTCCTGCTGCTGCTGCTGCTGCTGCTGCTGCTGCTGCTTTTCCTTCTTGCTGTCTTTGGCTTTCGCTTTGCCCTTGCCCTTTTTGCTCCTCTGTTCCTCTTCCTCCTCTTCGTCTTCCTCATCGTCGTCGTCGCTGTCGCCGCCCTCGTCGTCGCCCCAGCCGACCGTCGGCGTGAAGCCGAGGTTCATCTCGAGGCGCGGCTTGCCGGCGTAGCCCGTAGCGAGGGTGTAGTCCTGGCCGCGGCGGAACCGGCGCGCAAGCAGGTCGTGGCCCTCGACGACGCACCCCGTCGCCGTCTGCAGCCACTGGCGGAACTGGCGGCTCGGCAGCAGCACGTCGAGGGAGCTCCGTGACGGGCGACTCGTCGCGGGCGGCGCGCAGGTCGGCGGGCTGCTGGTAGAGGTAGCGGTGCTTGTGCGGGGGTTTGGCGACGAGCCAGGCGGAGGTGTCGCTGTTCTTTTATCCTTGTTCTGTCTTCTTCTTCTTGGGGCATTCGCTGCTCCTGCTCCTGCTCCTGCTCC